AACAAGAGAACTTGTGCAAAAAGTAGTGGGCAAAGATTTCTCTCTGTATTTCTTCCAATCTTGTGAAATGTTAAAGTTTCTATCATTGGATTTTTCTTCCCCAACAATAGAAACATTGTTTGTATCACTGATAAATAAATAAATGTTTAATAGTGAGTCCATTAAATGTGACTGACAATGTAAGGTCTCCTTTTGCTGTCACCTGCTCTCCGTTACCCTTAAAGACGCACTGCTAGGACCTATGATCTCTTCAAGCCTATCAGGACATCAGCTTATTTACAAGAGTTCATAAACATGCATAAGATTGTCTGAAAGTTCAGCTGGGTGTTGATAGTATTAAAAGAACATCAGAAAAAAGTAGATGTGTACTTCTCAGAGTTGAAAGCAACTCCAAATCATTAAAAGTGGATGACAAGCAGCAGCATTCCCGGTCCCCCGAGTCTCCCCTCTGTCTTTTATTTCATGTTGTTATCAAACATTGTTTGTTTTCCGTCTTCGTTGAAACAGCGAATTCCTGTCTGTGTTCCCTATTTGTCTTGTCATATAAAACTGAATTTAAAAATCTGCATGAATTGATGACCATACAGTATTTTAATAATGCGGCCGCTCATCTAAAGCGATATGCTAGATACTGTAGACAAAAGTAATTGCATATTAGACCTTTTCTTCTGAAGCATGCGCAGATTCAAACCAATTAAGAATAGGAATACCGAGGCAAGGTCAAAAAGACCGGTTATTATGAGACAAGTTCAGGTGAGTACTTTGCAAGATGGGGGGTGGGTAAGATTTGGGTCAATTAAAAGACCTTAATCCAGCAAAGGTGGTATGTAGGTCAACAAGACTAGAAAGAGAGGAAATTTACTTCCAGTAAAGACTAAACTGACGTATCAGGAAGCCTCCTTGCCCTTAGCGTGTATTTGTGCGTTGGTATGTCCCAACATGATGTTGTGAGGAGCTGCAGGCTATAAACAACATGAGAAGCCATCCCCAGGTGGGTTCCTGCACCTATACCTCCTCTGGTAATGTGATATCCATGAGCTGAGATGGATTTGCTGTCTGGGGAGAAAGTTTATTGATCTGAAGATGTAGAAGAAAGGAAAACCAATTTGCGGGACATATGACCCGACTGCTAGGGAGACCTAACAACCTGTTTAGCAACAGAGGTGAGACCCTCACACGTGGGGTACGCTTGCAGAGCTTTTGACTTTTTCGCACAGAAACTTTATAGATTGTTTCCTCTCTGCGGCAGTCCTTATTAACTTATTTAATGAACCAATAGAGAAAGAAAGGGTGTGTGTGCGTGTTGTGTGTGTGTGTAAGTAGTGGGACAACTGTAAATCTGAACCGCATACCGTGTTGTAGAGTATACGACCTTGTTGACTATATATGTGATTTAAAAACTTGTTTTTTGTATGTATATACTATACAAAGTGGCTACATTTTATATTTCAAAATATTTTTTATAATCTTAATCCGTGCATCTATCCATTTTTCACCCATAACATTTTAATTAAATTGGTTTATTTCATGAGTTAAATTAAATTTATTTTTAAGATTCTGATTCAAAACAAGACATTCAACAACAACAACAAAAAATCAGTTTACATACATTAATTCATAGTCAATCCAATCACATATTGAAAGTCAGTTGCCTCCATCAACATTTCACACCAAGTATAAAAAAATTCACTCGCGTTCAGTTCATTATGTCAACTGGTAAATGCTTTCTGCATAAGGAAATCCTCTTGTCACTTACTTTGCAGCAATCCCCGGCTCGTATGAGTGTGAGGCGGCGGAGTGGAGGCCAACTCCTCTTCCAGAACATCCGGGACGATCTGGCTCAGTGTGAGCGGCCATCTGACGTGACAAACTGTAGGTTTGAGAAGGCGGAGTAGGCCCGCAGAAACACAAAAGCACTTCCATGGGTGTACTTTCTCTGTTAATGAAAAAGTAATGAGTTCATAGCAGGAACAAGCTCCCAAGAGTAGCTGCTTTGTAATGGCTTCATCCAGCAGAGAAACAAAGCTAAACGGACACACTCTGAGCCATTAGCGGAAAAACTGAGTACACGTGATTAGTCGCAGCCAAACTGCTTGTGTCGTTTTGTGCATACGAGACGAGATTAAACCCAGGAAGACGGCGGCAAGTGCATCGTCTTATAGAAAGGCAACAGAAAGCTGTTGGCAGCAATAGCTCAGTCGATAGCTCCCTGCAGGAAGATGTCACAGCTAAACAGGAGCACCAGGCCAGATGAGACTTCTGTGAAATTTAAAGAAGAAAAGAGGGAACGAACATAAAGTTAATGGCAGCAATTACTGGGGAAAAATCCATAATTTAAGAGTTATAGGAGAAAGTAGAGCAAGGAAATGTGGTCAGTGTGTCTGTCAGTAGCCTCAGTCCTTCGCAGCATATGGAGATAGTTTCGGACAACATAAGCCGGTCTAGCTATATAAACTTTATCCAAACTGAACATTTTAAAGCTACTCTCAGTATTTGACAAGGTTCCACAGAGGAGGCGTCTGGTAATTAAGATCTGTGTCCCATTCTACTTTGTAGGAATCACCAGTAAAGCTGTGGTCTGAGAGTGAAGTGCTTTGTTCGGGACGTGTAGAACAATCACTTCTCTAAACTAACGAGGGAATTTTACATTATGTTCTGCATTTAACAGAGAGGCGATAAGGAAAGGTAGAACTGACTGGAAAGAACTGCAAGATTCCAACATTGAAGAGGCAAATCCATGGTTATATTTGATATTTACTATAACACACAACCCTGTTTTTATGTTCTGTTTATCATACCTGCTATTGTCCACAGCTGGATTTGTCATTCAATTGAAACATCATAATCGAAACCAACGTAAAAATATAAAAGCATATCTTTCTTGTCAGCAGCAACTGCGATAACGTCTTTAAGATGGTTGAGTAAGATTATTTCACTGAAGTGTAAAGCCTTATTAAAATCCTGCTGCATCTCAGCTGAACTTTGACTAGGCCTATCCAAAAAGTTTTTGTTCCCTTGTTCAGTTTTGTATTTTTTTTTTTTTTTATCATTCAGAGGAGGTCTCATTGGTGTGTTTTGAAATCATTGTCCTGCTGCAAAACTCAAGAGTTCTTGAGATTCATTGGTGAATTACAAATCTCAGTCTTCAGGGTTTTCTGCCAGAGATAAGAAGACTTGGTTAAAACAGTCATAAGATGGAAAATGATCCCAGACCATCACACTACCTCCACCGTGTGTGAATTATGTCCTTTTTTTGATGAGACGCTGTCTTAGTTTTACACCAAATGTAATAGGATGCAAACTTTTTATAAAGGTTGCTTCTGGAAAATGTTAGTGTTTCAGTGAGCAGAGGCTTTTCTCTTGGACCTGATACAACTCATGATTGTTGCTCATGTTCAGCTTCTTTCTCATCATTGAGTCTTGAACACTGACCTTGACTGAGACGGCTGAGGCCTTCTGGGCTTTAGACGCTGCTGTGCTTCCTTTGACATCTTCAATGAGCACTGTTTGCAGTCTTGGAGTGATTTTGATAGGCTGGCCACATCCGGCAAAGTTTAGCACTGATCCATGTTTTCTCCATTTGTTGATAACACAGTAGCTCTGACTGTGGTTCTCTGGAGTCTAACCTCTGTCCAGGTGGATAGATTTCAATAAAACATTTTCTATATGTTTGACTTTTTAAAATGGCCTACTTTTAGGTGGTCAGACACATTCAATTTAAGTGGGTTGTTAAGTCTTAAAGTCTGAAACCCAGTTTTCTGTAAAACAGAATCTCTTTTATTTAACAAACGGAAAGGCGATTACTCTTTCACTTACGGCCAGCTTTTCCTGCCATAAATCGTCATTTGAAAACTGCATTTGTTTTTTACTCAGATTCTTTTTGGATGTAAGTTTCCTTGGAAATCTGAGTGGAATTGAGTTGCTCCCTACTCGGGATAGAAATTACGACGCCGCCTCCTGGGGCTCTCCCCTCAGAGGGTTAGTGAGGAGGAGCAGCTGAGCTGATTCCTGGCTCGACCCAAACTGGCGCTCAGTGGAGGAATTATTTCTCCCAGCTGGTTGGAAAGGATCTGGATATTATCCAGCACTGAGCTGGAAACACAGAGCGTAACTCTACTCCCATTTTTTTTTTTTTTTTTTTCCCCACTTCTTCCCTAAAGTTGGACTTTAATGGTTCGGAGAATGGAAATCAATGAGTTTGATAATAACCGTCAACATTTGCATCAGTAACAACTTTATTCTGTTCATCATTTTTGCACCAACTGTGACCCAAAAGGAGCTCTGACTTTGTCACATTTGGTCAACTCATTCGACATACCAAACATGTGCAAAAATAATTATGTATATATACACCTGCCTATGGTTCAAGTATCACAATTTATTACAAAAACTAGATTTTTTTTGTTTTGTTTTTTTTTCATCATCCGTCTGTGTCGCCATGCTTTAAGCATATAACAATACAGTATAAAAGCTCAACTTAAAGGTAAGGACAGTAAAAGCAAAGAATAGAGATGATGTTGCAGCATCGCAGAAGTTAAGACATGCTTGTTACTGTACAAAAAAAAAAAAAAAAAATTTCCCCCCAAATTCGAGCAACCAGGGAAAAAAATAAAAATAAAATGCAAAACGAATTGCATTTTACAGCATTCAATCTGGTCCGACTGCATTTCAAAGCGTTACAAGAAAGATTGCTTTTGAAAACGTTTTACAGGAAAATTAACACAAACACTCTGCAAATGATAATGGATATGCTGAGATGTTGTTTTTTTCCACAGCCCAAGGCACTCAGGCTCATATGTTGGCAATGATCAGAGTCGCTCTTTGCACAAAAATCACGTCAAGCGGGTGGTTTTTAGAGAAAGGAGAGTGGTCGAGAAACGCTTTTGTCTTTTTCAAAGCCTCCAAAAGCAAAACTTGCTGCTAGATGAGTCCACCTGCGTGTCCTCCACAGTGCAAATCTCTGACAGTCGAGACAGAAAAGACCGCTGGAGATTCATTTGTTTTCTTTGAATTGTGTGACATCAGTTTTCTTAAAAAAAAAACCAAAAAAAAAACCTATGCGACCTTTTCCTGCTGCACGCTTGAACTCGGCCCGCTATTTGTTCACCTTCACGCTGCGACTTCTTCCTTTCAGAAGTGCCACTGCTTACTTTTTTCCCCCAAATGAAACCACATGTGCTGACGAGCAACGCCGGATGCCAAAAGTTGACCTCTTCAGTGACCTCCTCCCACACCAGAAAATCGCACAAGAGGCTCTCACAAATAAAGTTTTCAAAACGCCTATGACAAAAAATTCCAGTTCGTCTTCACTGAAAAAGTCTCCTCCTGACCCTTCAGGCTGGCTGACTAACCGCCGTGGCAAAAGTGATGTTCGCAAATGTTTTATTCTTCATTCGCGGTTCAGTTGAGATGGCGGCAAGCTTCGAATGTCCACTTGGAGGCTCCGCCATAAATGTCCAGGCTCGTCTCCATCCACGCAAACACGTTGCCCACTTGAGCTTTGCTGCTGCAGGTTGCCAGATTGTAAATCTCCCCTTCGGAGAGCTTCCGATCCCAGATGTGGAAATTCGCCAGGTCTCCGACGAAAGCCTGTGTGGCGTCGAACCCCCCGCCATAAGTGTCCTGTAGTAAGGAGAATCCATTTTTAATGAGGCTGATCACGAGGTTGTATGAACACAAAGTGAAAGAAAATTGTGCATCATAAATGGAATTTAATTGCCTCTTGTTTTTTTTTGTTTGTTTGTTGTTGTTTTTTCACCATAATTCTGGCTTATTAGGATGTATGTGCTGCTTTCATAGTGGTAAAACTTTTGAATCCAATGAAAAATTAAGGTCATGTAATTGCATTTCAAATAAAGCCTTAAAACACATGTGACCAATGTTTACCAGATTTACGTTCAACTTTAAATATAAGAGTATATGCTATTGTTTGATCAATGCTTTCAAATCAAGAAGATAACTTGAAAAATTATTTAATAATATCCAAGACGGCTGCACAGGAAGAGCAGGGAAGCATTAAATCCACACCGCTTCTTGTTTACCTGCTCTTGGCCAAGGATTAGCAATCCCTGGGGTTTGATTGGATGATACGGCGCCAGATTCTCTCCGCCTCCTCTTTTGACGCCATCCTGGTAAGCTTCCCAGACCCCGTCCCGAGTCGTCCAGGTTACGCAGATATGGTGCCACTTTCCGTCATTGATGAGAAAGGGCAGCTTTGCAACCTTCGAGGAGACGCAACACATGATATGTCAGAACCATACACTGTAAAAAAAGAAACTTTTAGAGAGAGCTTTCAGTTAATCAAGCAAATTTTTCAAAAATGTTCAAAATATGCCATCAAGTATTGGTCTAATGCTACTTGTGTGGTTTGCAGTAGAGGACAGTAAGGCTTTGCTTTCTAACAGGGGAATAAAAAGTTACAAAAATATGAAACCATTTAAGCTAGCTTAGCAACAGCGCTAAGGCTAACGTCAAACTTGCTAACCAACCTGGCTTTATAACCCTTGAGTGGCGTGTACTTCTTAGCTGTGTGTGTCAGGTATACAATTAGCATATTTTGCTCGTGCACAAGGTGCATATCTTTGACTAAAATCAGTGAAGGTCAAGAATTTGACTTCCGTCGAGCCATACCTTGTCGTTTATCAGTATCTCCATTGGGTTGTTCCCCCATTCTATGAGGACCAGCTCATTGGCCTGACCCGGGACCGCGTAGGAGAAAGGTGTCCCCACTCCAGGCGACGCATTGGACTTCAGCCACATGCACACGGTGAGGGCGTACATCTCAGGCAAGCTCTTCTTCACTTTTGCATACATGTAGTTGGTCCTCAGAGGGAATGTGAGCTGGAACTTATCCAGGGGCCTGTTTTCTCTTTGACCTGTTGGCATCGAACACGAATTGGTGACCATTATACATGCTTCCTGTTTCTCTCTTTATTGTTTTTTTTATTATTATTATTTATTTAGCTTCCGTTAAACACCTATCAGTTTGCACACAACCTCGGGATTTGTATTGGAATTATGCGTTACACAACAAATCCACAATATTAGGGCTCCAGATTTGCTTTAATCTCGTTGCAGATCAACCCATCACTGGAGCAGTGACGTTGGTAACTGAAACATGTCTGCTATATGCAATCATGCATGTATGCATGTCATCACAGGGCTCCCAAACAGATGATGCATGGTAGTATTACTTTAAAAAAAAAATCAAAATGGAAATGGAGGCAAAAGACTTTTTTTTTTTTTTTTTTTTTAAATTTAATCTGCAAAAAGTGGAGCAGGATGAGATTCTGCTCTGATGGCAAGAAATAATAATCTACAGAGTTCGTTTCAACGTAAACGATAGAATATAAACTAATGATTAAATCACTTTCCATCCTGAAATATTACTTGTGCATGGAAAAGATCAACCCCCTCGTCCCATATACCTTTTTCTAAATCCGTGATCCTTTGGTGTAGGGAGGTGAGCGTGGACTCCACTCTCCCACGCTGCTCGGTCTCGTTCCTGAGACCGGGCTTCCCTTCCTCGATGCTGTTCACCCGGGACAACACCTGCTTCTCCAAGTCGTCGATTTTACTTTGAAGCAGGTCCTTCAGGCTGTTGGTCTGCACCGAGTTGTTGCTCCTGCTGAATTGCTGTCAGGGAGCGAAACCTCATTAAGTTCAGTTATACAATTATTATTATTATTACTATTATTATTATATTATTATTTTAAAGTGAATGTCTAAGCGTAAACTGTACATTGTGTTTTTAAAATACGAAAAGAAATGTTTTGATTGTTGCAATGACTTATAGGTTATTTCTCTTCAAATTGAGCTTTTTGCGCAGAGCTGATGCGCCGAAAACGTCTCCAGACGCGTCGCCCTACCTCCAGATTCTCTAATCTCTGCTTCAGCGACTGTAAAGTCTGAGAGAGCTGCGTCAAAGTCTCTGCGGGGCCTCTGGACACGTCCCCCATGGTGTTTTTGGTCCCCGCTTCTTTCCTCCTGCCCCCGGGCCGCGCGTCCCCGGGCTCCACGCCGCCGCTCTGACTCTCGCACCGGGCCAACTTTGAGGTCAGCTCCCGTATGGTCTCCTTCTGGTTGATGATCGTCTCCTTCTGCTGCAGCACGGTCTCCCGCAGCTGCATTACGGTGGTCTTCAAGTCCTCCCCAGGTACGCTGTTCTGTAGCGTGGCCGCGCATATGTCCACATCCTTGGGCACGGACGTGCATATGAACTGCGTCTGTCCGACAAAGTCCTGGGATAAACTCTCCAGAAACACACAGGAGAAAAGCAAAAGTCTCCAGGAGAAGCCGCTCCTCGTCGCCCACATCCTGCCGTAGTGTGCGCCCGCTTTTTTTTTTTTTCCTTTCTGTTTTTAGTTGACGAGCCGCAGTGAGTGTGCTCCTGTTGTGGTACTCCGCCTGTGCGAGCGCAGCCGCTTTTATACGCGACGTGCCCGGTCGGTTCTGCGCAGAGCAGCTTCACTGCATCACAACCCGGAGGGGCGGCGGGAAGCGCGCTGCCCCGTTTAGAAAGAGAGAAAGGGAAGAGAGAGGAAAAAAAAAGAGTGGCTTTGGATTCGAGGGATGAAACCCATTTTCCTTCCATAGTGCCACATGTTAAATCTTTGATCACTTAGACTGTTTGTCATTTCTTAGCTCTGTATTATTCATCTGGGGGAAAAAAACAAAACAAAACATGGATTTGTTGGAAGGGAGGAAGGCAGGGACTTGAGTGTGGCGCTTGGCCAAAAGGAGCCAGCTGTGTGCATATGTATGTGTGAATATATATATATATATATATATATATATATATATATATATATATATATATATTGTTCTGCATGCTCTGGGAACTGTAGGTGGATGAATCCAACACACAGCAGAAGTTTGCGTTCAGAAATCTCCTCACCAAGGACAGCTCCAGCTACCAAGAGCCGATTTTCTGTCTTTCTTTCCCCTCCCAGTTCTCACTGTTTGTCCTCTTTGTTTCCTTTTTTGTCGGATCATAAAAGATAAACTGCATTAGCATAGAGTACTTAGCAAAAAAAACAAACAAAAAAAAACATCCATACTCCCTGAACTCTTCTCTATGTTCAGACGAATTCAAAGTATAGTCCACAGTCGTGTAGTGGAAGCAAAAGTGTGAGGCTTCCATTGATTTACAAATAAAAGAAACGACATCCGCCCCTTTACTCCGATACAGCTTAATAAAATCCTGCTCTAACCTGTTGCATTTGAAAAGTCACTTATAAAGCTTTTGTACTTTGTTGAAGTCAAAGCAGAGTTGATGCACATTCGATCATAAAGTGTGAATTACTATTAAGATTGTATTTTTCATAAAACCAAACAGGCCAATTCATGCATTCAAAACCCCAAACACACACACACACACACACACACACACACTGTCACACGAATGAAGCCAGAATTCATCTGACGCAAGGTCGACTAGTTCTCTCTAACGCTCTAATATTTTAATATGTAATGAAAGCATGCCAACTCTCAGATTAAAACTGGCTCAGGAGATAAAGTGTGTGCATGTGGGAGAGGGGGGGGGATAGGTCTGCATGTGACTGTTTTAATAGTAGGTTAAAAAGTTCTCTGGATAATTGCTCCCATCTATAATAGGTCAGTGAAGCCGAACGCTTTGGAACGCCTGAATGTGGAGCTGAATGATTAAATGGTTCTCCGGAGGGATTATTTCACATGAAAGCTTTGAAATAAACCAAAATGATTATTTTATGGCCAAAAAAAAACAAAAACCTTTTATCTGCTATACCGTGCTGATTTTTAACCTGTCTCGGTTTTCTTTATTTTCAGACCTGTTTTTCTCAAACATTGATGCCTTTGATCAATGTTTTTTTTTTTTTTTGTTTTTTTGTCAGACTTTCTGAAGATCGTTATGATTGCCAGTCATTGTCCCCTATCTGTGTGTGTTTTTAAAAAGCAAAGGAAATTGACTATTGGGAGGAAAAGAGTGAGAAGCTGTGCCTACAGCAGATCAATGAGACACAGAGAGACCAGATGCCTAATCACTCACTTTATCATCGAATGTAGTCCAAGTTTTACCCAACAGTTGTTTTTTTCTTGGGGGGGGATAAACTTGTTGATACACGAGGTTCCTTGAAAAACCATTTATGATCTTTTCAGCTTTTCATATTTTGTGTCATTACAGTCACAAACTGCCATTAGTTTTTATTATTATTATTATTATTATTATTATTATTATTATTATTGTTGTTGTTCTTTTAGCATTTGGGCTAAAATAGGAAAGAAAAGGACAGCACACCTGTCACTGCAGGTACAGGCTGAAGTGTTTTCACCAGTCTTTACCAGCATTTTTATCAAATTGGTATCTGTCCAATGAGTAAAACTGCTCTGCTATTAATAATCAGTGTTTATTCCCATGTTGTTCCTGTTTGAACCGCCTTCTCATTTCCAAGTCTTCCTTCAAGTCTTGGAATTTTTAGCTCCGCCCATCTTCCTGTTGAACCTGACAAACCTCCCTCTTCTGGCCTGAGAAAAACACTTCCACAGAATAATCCTCCAGCCACCATATGTCACGCTTGGGGTGATGTAATTATACTCAAAGTTTTGCATATAAGCCTATAAGTTGTGTTTTGGTTCTCCACAACACTTTTGTTCAAACGGTTCCCGTGTTCACTATCTACATGGCTTCAGGCAGAATGTGAACAGGACTTTTTATACTGATTTTTCCTTCCCAAATATGTGGACACCTAATAGTTGTCGAGTCAGCAGATTCTCCAACCTCATGTGAGAATCTCTGCAGCTCCCCCACAGTTACCATGAGTCATTAGGCTGCTTTCTTATCGATGCTGTCCTTGCCCAGCATAGGTGGACGTTCCTGTCTTGGCAGGCTTGATCTTGGAAAGTTCAAATAATATTTTATGAATACAGTTTTACCACATAAGCTGCTGTAGCCTTCTTCTCAACAACTTTCTCCCCGACCCGTCTTGCTGCGTTTACTGGTTTTTGGTTGTTCGCCGCTGTTCTCTAACAAACATCAGAGGCTTTCGGATGTTCGGATGCATTCCAACTCCATTTACAGTCATGACTGATTGTTCTCTGAAAGGAACGTATTGCACTGGAGTTAATTTTGGGATATCACTATTTTTCATTTTTTTAGACTTTCATATATGAAAAAGCAAATGTGTGTTTTTTTCCCCTCATATCATTATGTGCTCCTTTGTGTCTATCCATCACATTAAGTCCCACTAAGACACACTGAAGTTGAAGATTGTAATTAGTTAAAAGGGATATAAAAAGCTTTGGAAGGCGCTTCAGTGTTTTTCTTTTCTCTCAAATTCCTTTTTGTATTTTTTCTTTTTCTTCTTTTAGACTCAGCTGAAGCAATGGGAATCATTTGTGTCTTAATGACAGATTGCTAACAAAGTGCTAAAAATATTTTTTCATTACTTTCACTGCTGTCGGAAATGAAATCTTTCTTTTCCAATATCTTTGTGTAAAGACACCAAAGGTTTTTTTTTTTTTTGTTGTTGTTTGTTGTTGTTTTTTTTTTACATCCGAGTCTGGAAAAGCTCAAAGATCTGTTTATCAAGACCAAAAGAGACGATACAAGAACCTCCGATTGCTTGGAAACAAAAGGTTAAAAGGTCATGGACGACTCCTATTGATAAAACACCATTTATGTTGTTGGTATTGCATAACAACTTCGATAACACAAGACCGAATCGATGTTATGTGTTTAACATAACATGTATTAGGAACGTGTTTAACGTGTGACATAACTTGCTGTCAGAACTTGTGTATTTGTTGCTTTGCTGCCCCCTGAACACTTTGTTTTCCTCTGGATTACAGAAGATTTGAGTGCTGCAGCCCAATCCAAAGGAAATGAAATGGGACAGAGGGAGAGCTTTAGCGAGTTTCCTCTCGGTTCTTTATCCAGAGTAGTTGAAAAGTCATTGATATTATTATAAAGGCAGATCAAAAAGGTGTACAGAAGCACAAAGTCTTTTTGAGCCAGACATGAAAGTGATAAAAATAGACATTCGGGTGATGTAACAGTGCGAGATTTGCAGGAAGGCTGCTTATATAGGAGGTTTTCCAATAAAAAATAAAAATGGATCGATATATCAAAAAAACATTGGTCAAAGATCGAGAACGGCTCAGTTCAGCTCACTTGGATCTGACTTCAGTAAAACCTTTTCGTTTGTCTTTTCGTTTGGTCGCAAAAACAAACAAAAAGCAGCTCATGATCTGCTCCACTGGAGCAGAATAACTCAGTTGGATGTTTCGTATTTGGATAATGTAAGACAAAATGTTTTCTCAACTCTGAACCGTAGTATTGCCAGTGTCATAAATCAAATTAGCACTTTCTTTTTTTTTGTAAACCTCCAAAAAGTAAAAGGAAAAAACATGAAAAAAATTATGATATATGCATAAATAATGAAAGTATCAAGCAGAAAATATAAGTATATGAACAATATTTTTGTTGTCCATGCTCTGCCACCTCTATACCTTATTGTAAATTATTGGTGGGTCTTTAATCCAGAGAAGGATTTCTTTTTTTTTTTTTTTTACTTTTCATAGGAGTAAAACTGATGCATCAATTGCGTTTCTGTAAATTCAATTTCACTTCATTTTCCTGCGCGGTCTGCATAATCAGTCACAATAGTCTGGTTCCAGTCCACCCAGAAACAAAAGAGAAACACACTCAGTCTGTCAATATAACATAATTATTCAAGGCCGCCCACACAAATAAATCTCGGAGCCATATGCCCGAGGTCTAAAAAACAATCGTTGCTGCCGCAGAAACAAGCTGCACCTCGGCGCGGTCACCTACTCCTCCCAGACGCGCTTGGCTGCCGTGTCTTCATAAGGGCGAGTTCAGCCCAAAAGCAAACTGAGTTGTGCTGCAATTTAAAAACAAAACAAAAAACTGTGACAACTGTTGAACTTCTAAAGCATTTAGCCGCATTGCTCATGAAATAATAATAAGCTCGGATGAAATGATGATTTCTTCTGCAAGCTGTTTCTGCTGAATGTGGCAGCGCAACAATCGACGTCGATGAAGCCGATCTTACAAAACAACAAAAGCAGCAGTTTTGTAGCTCCTGTTCTAATCGCACCCTCGCCGTAGTGCTTCGGTTTTGTCAAAGCTTGGCCGCTCTCCGTCTGTTGTGTTGAGCACTATTCTCTCAATAATGCATTCATACACAGAGGAAATGCATTGGCCAGCACCAGAGATCAATAGCTGTAATTTCACATGCTGGCACTGCGCCCCCACTGGATTTCTCTCCCTGATTTATTTTCCCCTCACTTCTCCAGAGCAGATCATTTTAGATGGACGAATGTTCTATGCGACTCTGTGTCTGTTCAAAAAGACGAGAGCAGACGCACGTCTTTAACCCAACTCCATGAGCCTCCGCGTTCTTATCCAGATACAAAGTAATCGA